GAGATAGGGGAAAAATACATATGATTTTGAGAAGGGAATGGTACCCATATTCGGCCCCAAAAACTACCAAACGAGTGCCCTGTATTTCCTTCTTTATTGTTTTATGAGACAGACTTGAAATATATTTTCAGATCAATTCATGACAAACCTTATAGTATTACATTTTTTAAACAAACATTTTTTTAAGAATGCAGAATGATTCACATTTCTTGCAAATACTGATTTTATAGTCCTGACACAAAAATTCCCAATTTGCTGTCTTTCCCGATACAAAAATTCCCAATTTGTCCTGCTAAATGAAAAATGTATTTGCGATGGTTGCATTAGCCTACATGTCATTTAGAAATTTTGAAGTGACATTATATGATAAAAAACAAAACTAAATCTGATTGCTAAACCAGAATCTTTTACATACCCACATATCTTTTTTCGAATTCTCCAGTTAAATGACGTTTCACAAATGTTGTTTTGCCAACACCACCATCTCCCACCAACACAAGCTGAAGTTAAAATAAATTGCAAGTATTAGCTATGTTTTAAAAAATGCTAAAATGGCCATCATTTTCTTTAGAAAAACTAAACAAAAACACCATAAAACCATATTTATCATACAAAGACAAAAAATATTACTTCACTCGAAGATCTTCCAGTAACAAAATACTAACTTAATATCATTGAATGTCAGTTTGAACTTACTGAAGACAAAAAGTTCTTGAACAAACTTAATGTGTTAAGGGTTATACAATTTGTTATATTTCTTTTATGAAATGTAAAAATATTTTAGTCAGGAGTTTCATCAGATTGCCATAACCCCAGCAGGGGTTTACTTAAGGTTTTGACTTTCACTTGCCCGAAGGGCAAGTAACTTTGAAAATCTACTTGCCCCCAGGAAAAACAGGTTGCCCGATCTTAAATGTGAAGTTTGTTAATATTAAATCAAAGCAAAAATTATGTGTAAAAATAAGATTTATTGCAGATCCTATCAACTTATGCCTCAGATAGTAAAATAGTCCTAAATTCCCTACTGTATATGTTTTTTTTGCTAATTCACAATAGTCTAGGGGTCGACACAACTTTCTTTGCCAGGGATCCAATAGAAATCCCTGAGATTTAATTTAGAAAAACTCCTAAATGTCAGGGATTCTTCACATCAAAATAGTAAAATGAAAGTGGAGATTAACAATAGTCAGAATGTCCGACATAATCTGTTAAGGCTTATAAAAATTACAGGTAATAATTAGGCCCTATTCCAGATGACTTAAAATATATATTAACATTCAGATGCTATCACCTTAAAAATATTTATTCCCTATTACAACTTTAAAAAGGAAACAGTACATTGATTGTTAAAATTGTGCTAGGTTTTAAATGTTAATTGTTGATTTCAAACAATGTAAATATCAAAAATATGTTTGCTTTGTTTGCATTTAATTTACCAAACTAGTAATGTACCTTTCAAATTTATTTCATTTTTAAAAACAACAAGTTGCTCCAAGTCCATGACAGGATGTGTTATACTCAATTTAAATGGATCTGTCTGATTACTATCCTCCCTGTTTGTATTAAAATTTATTTATGTCACATCAAAGGGACTCACTCCATGCAGTAATCATATAGTTCAGAGCACTGACTGGTTCAAAGAACTGTCAGACGTAATATACGTCATTTGCTGTATGTTTCACCTAAAGAGATTATTTCTGTTTTGGTCGTAAATTAGGCATGACCTAGAATGACCTCAGATAACTTATAGTTACACAATATGCTGTGATTTACCCAAAAGGATTTTAAACATTTTATGGATTATTTTATTTTGTTTATTAATAGGTAAGAATATTTTTAAACATTGCCGTAGGGGGAGAAAGGAAAATAAATTAACAACAGTTCAAGACTATTATGATTTTTCGTCAAGATTTGTGTAAAAAAGATTACTTGTGACGATTTTTAAAAAAAATTCTATAGGCCTATTGCAAATGAGTTGACGCCAGTTAGTTAAATTTTGACTGTATGAAGAAAACAATAGCGTACAGGATTCAAAGGAGTAGATTTTTACGGCCCGATTTTTCTGCATCTTGCAGTTGTGTCAGTCTTTATTGACATAACTCATCTTGAATTTTTGTGATCTTATGCTTTTTATTCAGAAAATCAGATGTTTTCTTTGCTGCAGCTTTTTCTTTAATTGCTGTAGATTTTTTCTTTTAAAAATGGGAAAACTTTCGGCGCCGCCCGCCATTTTGAAAGGAAAGCAAAATGGAAAAAGTTTTTTTACGTAATTTGATTGGTTGATAGGAGTCTAACTACAATCAGAAACAGTTAAAAATACACTTGTTTGACTGTAATATGAACGGAAAGAAAAGTATTATCGGCAAAGGATATCAAAGCTAATAGAAGGCATAACGAAAATTCACTTGCCCGCTGGGCAATTTGCTTTCAAATTTCACTTGCCCACAGCGTTTTCTACCCGACGCGGGCAAGCGGGCGTCCGCTTAAATAAACCCCTGCCCAGTCCAGCCAAACTGCTTAAATTCTATTAACATACAAATTGTACAGTTAAAACAACCACAAACAAGAGCTGTCAGTAGGACAGCACGCTCGACTATTCTAAGTGCTTGATAGTAAAAGAGCCATGATAATGTTAAATTTTTTAAGTTCACAAAAGGGCTAATTTTTTTTTATAAATTCATGTTATAGGCCTTAGAGAGAGTCTAATTATACAGTATTGTCTTGACTTTTCTGAAGGTAATGTCACAAGGGTGTTTTATTAAGTATAATAATATCAATTACCTATGAATACATAAATTTGACAGAAAAGGTACAAAGGCTTGTTATTAAGATGTTTTATCAAGTAAATTACTGCTTTATTATTATGAAGGAATAAAATTGTCCCAAAAAAGGTACAAACTCTTCGGTAGTTATTGAGATAACAGCTTACAAGCAAAACTTTATCATGAATTTCTAAGTTGAAAAAAGGGGAGAAAAATCAGCCTAAATGCAAGATAGAATTATGGATCTTTGTCAGTGACCTACAATTATGACCCTAAATGCATATGTGAAGTTTTACATTAATATCTTTAATAGTTATTGAGATATGTAAAACTTGCATGTAAACATTAACCAAGAGACTAAGTAGAAAAGGGAATATGAATCAGCCTTAATGCAAGATAGAGTTATGGAACTTGGTCAGTGACATACAATTATGATCCTCCAATTACGACCCTAAGAGCATGTGTAAAGTTTCAAGTTAATATCTTTGAAGACCATTAACCTGTAACCAAAATTTCTAAGTTTCAAAGGGGCAAATAATTCTGCAAATATTGATGGCAGAATTATGCAATTTTGCAAACTGATGTACATTGTTACTATAAAAAAAAGATTTTAAATTTCAATTGAATATCTCAAGCAATAATTGAGATATTTGACCTTACAAAAAACTTTAAACAAAATTTCTAAGTAAAAAAGGGGCATAATTCTGTCAATATTGTAGGCAGAGTTATCCAACTTGTCAATCTGATGTACCTTGTTACTATAAATAAGTATTGAAAGTTTCAATTGAATATCTCAAGCAATAATTGGGATATTTGACTTTACAAAAAACTTTAACCAAAATTTCTAAGTAAAAAAGGGGCATAATTCTGTCAATATTGTAGGCAGAGTTATCCAACTTGTCAATCTGATGGACCTTGTTACTATAAATAAGTATTGAAAGTTTCAATTGAATATCTCAAGCAATAATTGAGATATTTGACTTTACAAAAAACTTTAACCAAAATTTCTAAGTAAAAAAGGGGCATAATTCTGTCAATATTGTAGGCAGAGTTATCCAACTTGTCAATCTGATGAACCTTGTTACTATAAATAAGTATTGTAAGTTTCAATTGAATATCTCAAGTAATAATTGAGATATTTGACTTTACAAAAAACTTTAACCAACGCAGACGCGGACGCTGACGCCGGGGCGACTACAATAGCTCTCATATTCTTCGAACAGTCGAGCTAAAAACTACGAACGACCATGTGACATGCTGTCATACAGACTTACTTTGAATGTTGGTAAATCAACTTGCTGTTGTTCAGCCATTGTTCACTTTCAGTGTTTTCCTGAAGTAAATTAATATAAAACATTTAAATAAAATAACACAACTTTAACTTTAAATTTAATATGAATAACAATGAAACTGAATGCATGAAAAGCAAGAATTTTTTTACCTATCATAAACTATTTGGTAGTTTATGTACGTAATAAGTTTTTTTTAATTTTTTGATACTTGGTTTATTAACAGAATAGAAGTTTTATCAGGATATGCTTCACTTAATTGACATGCCCGGTGAATGAATAAAAGATTGTCAGATTCCCAGCACAATACACCCATTGAAAGTCTATATATCATATGAACTACGTAAATAATCGCGGTATATAGAGTGAAAAAATACGAGTTATTTCCCTTATCTTCAAGTAAAATTGATAACTCTGTCACGGTTCAGAACTGTTCATTATTTATGGGAGAAAGAGTGTAAGCGGCCGGATAGCTCAGACAGTAGAGCCGCGGAACGGTTGTCCTCAAGTCCCGGTCAGGCTGCACATTTTTCTCACCATGTGACATTTGGCACCCAACACGTGACCGTGACTGGATAAAGCTCAGTTTAATTTACATTGCTCTGTAACTCTGTGAAATTCGTGGACGACTTTCAATATAGCAGGGGATTATGTCACGGTTCAGAACTGTTCACTATTTAGAGGAGAAAAAGCGTAACAGCCGGATAGCTAAGCCCTATAAATATGACGTCGCTTTGAGATATTTTTGCTTCTGGGCAAAGCAACGTCATATCGAAATTGCTCAAAAACCAATAGCATGTTCCGCCAGAAAATCGGGCGGAACAAAAAACAATGAAGACAGCGTGTATTTACATTAGTACCTATTTATGAACAAAACTAAAAATATCTACTTATTGTCAAAATAATTAAACTGTCACATCCGAAAAATCATGATTATTATATATTAGGGCTGTAACGGTTTACCGGTACACCGATATATTGCGGTGCAGGATAAAAAAATATTGCACCGCGGTTCACATTTAGTTGTACCGGTTTTATTAAGTAATAACAGTGTTCCATAATATCCTCTATAAATAAAAGAAAGTCTTCCATAATTTTATTGATAAAATGACAATGTCCTAGGCACAAAAGAAAATAACAAACCGAAAGTAGGAAGCGTGTAAAAAACGGTGTTAGTATAAAAAATACACGGTGCGCGGGTAGACAAATGCTTGAATAAACGAATCAAAGCGCTTCGGTGATAAAGCTATGATTAACTATGGCAGACGAAAATAATTATGATTTGATTAAAAATCCAAAAGGAAAGAGTGCCGTTTGGCAGTTCTTTTCAATTAAAAGGAAAAGAGAGACACATGAAATTATCGAAAATACCGCGTTTTGTGATCGATGCGGTGTAGCAGTCAAATGTGGTGGGGGTACAACAAATTTACGAACGCACTTGGAAAGGCATCACAAAATGATAAAATTATCGGCTCAAAGTTCTGTTAACATGTCATCTGCAGTTACAACATCAGCTGGGAGTCAACAACCAACTGTTATGGAACTTTTCAATAAAAGGCAACAATACAAACCAAATTCTGAGAGATCGAGGTTGATTTCGTCAAAAATAGCAAATTTTATGATAAAAGATCTGAGGCCTTTTAGCGTTGTAAGCAATGAAGGGTTTCGTGACCTCATAAATATATTAGATCCTAATTATGTTATCCCTTCAAAGACTTATTTTTCACAAACTTTGATACCAGAATTATATCAGAGTGTGAAATCCAAGGTCGTCGAGAGTTTGTCAAAATCACACACAGTAGCCTTGACAACTGACGGCTGGACAAGTCGGGCTACAGAGTCCTACATTACAATCACATCATGCCATATAAATAATGACTGGGAACTAATAAGTCATGTTCTTCAGACCAGAGCAATGCCATGCAGTCATACAGCAGAAAATGTTGCACAGGTTATCAGAGAAGCTATAACAGAGTGGAAATTACCACAGAATCCACCACTTGTAACCGACAATGCAGCAAATATGCTGGCTGCAGCACGATTACTTGGCAGTCAACCACACCTGGGTTGTTATGCACACACCTTAAATCTTGCAGTACAGAAGGGTCTTGCTTTAAATAGTGTGTCTCGTTTACTTGGCAGAATCAGGAGGGTTGTCTCTTACTTCCATAGAAGTACAACAGCAGCTGCAATATTGCGTGACAAGATTAAGCTTTTGGGCTTGCGACAAGTAAAGCTAATACAAGACGTATGTACCCGATGGAATTCAGCTGTTGACATGGTTGAAAGGTTTCTTGAACTTCAACCAGCCATTTACACAGCCCTTATGAGTAAAGATATTCGTGCAAAGGAAGTTGACATAGCTACTTTAAGTGAGGTTGATATCGGTCTTGCGGAAAACATAATGTCAGTGCTGATTCCAATTCGCACAGTGTCAACAGCCCTTTGCTCTGAATCTATGCCAACAGCTTCTCTGATACTGCCTCTTCAGAAAAAGCTTATCAAGGGGCTTTCAGTCAAAGATGATGATATGCAAGCCATCTCACAACTGAAAACTGCAATATCACAGAACCTTCAACCAAGGTATTGTATAATTTATTCATGTGTCATATACATGAATGACTTAAATTAGAGGTTGATGATTTAATAAGTGAGTTTGATTAAGTTTTAACGTGCATATTATTTAACATAAAAGAAATGGAACAATTATTTGAGATCTTATACAGTAACAACATTTCCCTCATTTCTCATTTGTAAAATATTTTAACATTGTAAGTTTGTTGGTGAAAATGTATTGATTTTTTCTCTAAATATTCTACAGGTACTCTGATCTTCTACCATACCTTGAATGCACAACACTACTTGATCCAAGGTTCAAGACATCCTGCTTCTCAGAGGAAGATGCTTTTCCAATAACAAACAGAGTAATCTCTGAGGCTGCTTCCACACAGAAGGTTCTAGTTAAACAGGAATCTGACACCAGTCCTATATCTGATATGGAGACAACAGGGGCACAGTCTGAACCAGCATTACCACAGCTTAAGCTAGGTAATTTATAATTGTTGTAAATCATAGACCATTGAAATCATTCAAATCAATCAAATCATTGTATGGAATATGGCATTTGCCAGTTATGGGCAAATGCAAAAATACTTACTTGATGTCATGTGTTTTCAGTTTCTTTTTCATGTACATAATCTCACAAATCTGTTAAAGCATGAATGTACTTTCGTTTGGTAAAGTGCTAAGTAGGCTATTTCATAATAATTCTCTATTTTTCAGATTCTTTACTGTGTTGTTAATATATTTTTCAGAAGGAGGTGTTGAGACCAGCAGTCAGAAAGTAGAACCTCAGCAGTCAGGATTAGCATTACTTCTTGAAGATGTAATCATTGTAAAAACTGTACAGGGAACCAAAACTAAAATGGATCAAGCAAGGGAGCAAATGGATGCCTACCTACAAATGGAAACCCTGAGTTTAGGTGCTAACCCATTAGTCTGGTGGAAGGACAATGAATGGAAATTGCCTCTTCTCGCTAGTTTAGCAAGAAAGTACTTATGTGTTCCTGCAACAAGTGTCCCTTCAGAAAGGGTGTTTAGTACTGCAGGTGATATCTTGTCTGCACAACGTGCTTCACTGGATGCTGACAAAGTAGACATGTTAATTTTTCTTAAGAAAAACATGAATTAATTGCAACTGTCACTTAACCCCTTTGATGAAACTGTGTTAAGGAAATCATTACGATATAGTTTTGATTGTCAGTGACTTAATGAAAAGTGTTTCAAGTTTTATTTTGCTGTTAATTTTTTCTCATAGTTGATGCTTAAATAGTTAAAACAGTTTAAAGTTTTGTTAAAGGAAAGTATCCACTAATTATGTTTTGCGAGAGATATAGAGATATATATAATATTTGTTGAAATAATATAACTCTCTTTTTCTGAATTATTTCCCAGTACCTTACATTAATAACAATACGTATCGCAATATATTGCAATACGGATGTGGCGTATTGCAATATATTGCAATACGCTTTTTACCGTATTGTTACAGCCCTATTATATATCCTCTCATGTATTTCAATTTTTTTTACAGCCGATAAACAAATGGCGGCCATAAAGTGCGCGAAATCTGATTGGCTAATTCAAATGCAAGCGTTTAACTGAATCAGAACAATCTAACGGAATATTTTTTTAACGAAAAAATTGCCCATGCACATGTCAGTGTGTTCGAATATATTTTTCCGTTCAAAAATTTGGAATCAATCTGTAAAGCACCTTGCTAAACCAGTATGGCTGATAGACAAAAATAGATTGATATTTATATTTTATTTTAAATTGATAAGTACACTGTTTGAGAGTTTTTGTGTATGATTGAGCATGAAATTGAAAGAAAAGAAGATAAGCTTTTGAATAAAGCTTGAAAGGCAAGACAATAGACATTTTTTGAATTTTTTATGATGCTATGCGTTTTTGAGCAATAACTATTAGACGTCAGGCTTGACCGACACAAACTATAACAAGCCTGTAACGTCTAATATATTGGACTACTGGATAGCTCAGTCAGTAGAGCCGTGGAACCGTATTCCAAAAGTCCCAGGTTCAAGTCCCAGTCAGGCTGCACATTTTTCTGATGCTAAAATGATACAAATTTAGCCGTTTTTAAACCGTTAGTTTGGTGTGATTGAATGTCTAATCTTAAGCTAACTCTCAAATTTATAAATTTCAGTTATTTTCATTTCACATACATATACATGTAGGATATACATTGTTTCTAGAGCATGCCTTTAATTACTGGTTCAGACAAAACCAACGATAAAATCAGTTTCATATTAATTAAAACTATCATGTTTGTTATTTAAAAATGCTATCTATGAGACAACATAAACAAAGATGCCCTAACAAGAAAATTTTATAATGAAAGAGTTTCTGTAAAAATGATTCTCAAACATTTAAAATAGAGGTCACCATTACTCTGAGAGACAAAACTCACAAATATCCAAACAACAAATAAATGAAACACTAAATGCGCATCCAATTTTAAAATGAAAACGAAACAAAGTACCGTACAAAAATGAAGAACAATACGCGATTAAATATACGAAATTAAGCTAAAATACATATAAAATTTGTTAACTGTACAATATATAAGACGTTTCAAAAGAATACCTGTCGCCTGTAAATAATTGTGTATGTGATGTAAACAGATTTAAAACGTATATAGATTACTCAGCTATGGCGCAATTTTGTGTACTTCAAAATCCGGTAAGAGCCGGTTTGAACCAAACTGGCGGGAATTTTCCATGACTTTTCCATTAGGAAATCGTAAGAAAATCAAGAAAAAACTTACACAAAACTATCTTAATTAAAAAATAAAATGAACAACAGAAATTGTTTCCCTAATCTAAAGAACTTCCTTCTTTCGAAACTAGTCGATTACCTTGAGTTAAATGGCCGGATCCGGAAAGACTGAGATGAATTTTGACGCTTGCGCAGTGACAGCGGAAGCGAGACTAGTGTATATATTAAAATTGTATTGATTTTTCCCGTTTTAACATAACTCATGGCGGTTCTGTAGATTTTTGGAATAAAAAATTGGTGTTAATTTAATGTGGATAGCCAGCCGTTTGTGCTGAAAGTAAAGCAGGATGACAAAAGACCGCCTGCCGGCCCTGAAAGCGGTAGGTGTTTCCACTGAAGTAAAAAACGGTGTTGACATACAAAAGTCCGCTGCTAAATATTGACTCACTGTCAAATTTAATAAAATGATTTATTTAATAACATACATCAAAATTTATTGTTGTTTCTATCCATTTAATACTTAATATGAAATTAGGTGCTACCTATGGCGCGGAAAGTCATGTAGATCTTCATGTAAATTATGCAGTATCAAAGAAATTATCTATCTGAATTATATTGATAATGTTCAACACTACCTCCGATCAAAGTTATCTGTTGAATTGGTCGGTACTGGTGTGCTGAACTTCTCATTCTGATCTAAGAATAAATAAATTAATAATTTACAGTATACAAAAAAATAAAAAACAACAAAAAACATAAAATTGAAATAAAATCAATTTGTTTTTATTGGGGTACTGATCAAATTATGTGATTTTATAATACATCAAGTGTTTTTGAAAGAAATCAATTAACAAAATATCTTAAATAATTGATTAAATAATAATAGATCTATCAGTTTTTCAGTTTTTTTTTTTTTAAATATTAATTTAAATTTCCATTGTCTTTTGTATAACAAATTTCAGTTCCAGCTTCATGTGAAATTTTTGTTGTAAAGTCGCAAATGCCTGCAGCAATTATGCAATTTATTTTTACAATACAATTTCCTTCTCTAATTTTATCAAATTTAGTTTGAACAGCATTTGCTGATATTATATGTTTTGCACCTGGTATTATTATTGTATGTACTTCATAATATTTAAAACGTTGTGTAGAATTGATAAATTTATCAAGGCCACGCCCTCTTGAGTTAGTTGCAAATATCAGATGATTCATCTGTGAAAAGAACAAAACAGAAAAAGTTTTTCACTGTTTCATGTGAAAAAACTACATAGTATAAATATATTAAAATGTATTTATATGACAATATTTAAAGAAAATTTGCCAAACTATTAACCAATTCCAAGAACTGTGATCAATAAATGTTAAATGTATTGATTACAAATGTGAATTATTGATGATAAAATTTAGCTTAATAATCATAAAAGTAAATATGCAATATGAATTAATAACATGAATGTTTGAATTACATATATATACATGTGATTAAGTAATAAAAGCATGCTAGGAAGAAAAAAATACATTGATAATATTCAAAATGAGCAACATATGGGTAAGACTTTAAATTCTTTTTATTAGTGTCTAAATAAATAGTTGATATACAGTTTTGTAGCTATTCATGGTGTTAAATTCTAAATCTAGACAGATTCTTTTAATCAGTGGTGAAATGTCATGATGACATTTAATGTCATGGAATATTTTGAAAAGAAACATAGAAATAATAAACATGTCATCAATGAAAAAAATCATTATGACAAAAAATGTTAAGATGAAGATGTAGATAAAATGATGAAAACATGGTTAATGTAGATTTAGAAAATGCATGAATAATAGTAATGGAATGTATTGGTGAAAGTACATATACAATTGTAAGTTTATTTTATGTGATATTTATATTTGTGAAAGTGTATCAGTTACTGGTTGACATACCACCCACCGAAAAATCACTTTTCTTCTGTTATTAGTCCCTTTTAAATTATTTAGTTTTGTCCATAGACGCTTGTAAGAAACAGTTGTTTAATTGAAAAAGAATTAAATGTGATGAAATGTGTTGGTGGAGATATAATGGAAAGTATATTTTCTCTGATATTTATATTTGTGAAAGTGTATCAGTTAGTGGTTGACATTGTTGTTCAGGCAATAATTCTGGTCATTGTAATTATCATCCTGCATATGTAAATGTTCAGATTGATTTGGAGAGAGTAAATATACCTGTGTAGAAGCCTGTGAATCATTATTTACTTCTGTACAATAATTGTTTTCTTGGTATATCTCATTTGAATGTTTAACTTTTTTTGAGATTGATTTCCTACAATATTGTTGTCCAGCCAATAATTATGCTTGTTGAAAATAGACATAGTTATTTACCAGTATGCTTGCTGAATGTAGACATATTAAGTGTGAAAATAATGCATAAGATCTGGTAGAGTCTATATAATTTTTATTAATTTTTTTTTTTCAGAAAAATCAATTGAAATCAAGTGAAAATATGCTTGGAATTTCACTTAGATATATTTAGAACTGGTAGTTGTATACAGTATAGTCCAGTAGGACTAGCTCAAGTTATTGCATAAACTTGCATAAGTAACTTAATTAAAAATGTTAAAATATATTTAAATGTACAAAAGGAAACATGTAAAATTTGTGGTCGTCCAAATATGCAAAAGTAAATATAATGCTAGGACTTTAAACAGGAAAATGTAATTATGCCAAAATAGTACCGTTCAGCCTGTTGAGACGACAGCGATAAAAAAGCAGACGACTG